TGATGAAATCCTTCCAAATATATCCAAGTGACATCTTTTATTTAAAAGTTACTGAGATCATGAAGCAGCAGAATATTCTGGTGTTTTAAAAAAAACATGAATGAAGTTTCACAAACTGTTTTAAGAAAAGAAAACCCAGTATTTGTTAGGTTTACTAATTATTTGCCACATCAGGACCGTAAAATGCTGTGTCCTCCCAAACACAAGTCACACTTTGKGTGATTAGTCTGACAGGCGTTTAAACCAGCTCGAAGCTGTTCCTTAATATCCCCCTGATCTGGTTTCAGGACTCCACCGAGACTGAAACCCAGCTACAGAGAAGCATCAGTAATTACTGCGCTTCCAAAACGATATTTCATTTGGTGATTAGAGACTACAGCCTTTCAACAACTCAGAACAGAGACCRTCAGGAGGAATACATGAACCTCACAGTTTGGATTGCCAGACAAAAGGGCATTTGGATACATTTTATTCATATTTGATTACTGGAAGCAGAATAAGAAAAATTAAACATTACACAGATTTAGTTTAATTTTATAGTGATCTTACAATCTGTTTATGTTTTGGAAGGAAATCGTGTATTATACAATAAAAATCAAAAAACTTCAGTTATTAAAATTGAGAATTTGTGCAATTTTTACCCTGAAGTATTTGTACAGTGGCTGATAAGATACCATCAGACTAACTTATTAGAGTTTAACTGTCCCAACGAGGCAAGAAAAGGTTAAAATTACAACTTCTTTTTAGCTCGTCGCTACAAACATCTTGCTCCAAATGTAGCTTTCATTTTACCCTTCAAAAAAAAGTAATGTCTGCAAATGTTTGTCTATGTCCAATCTTTCTCTGGATGTGAAATCTTTTGATTTCACCCCGCGTATCATTTAAAGAACGTTCAGGTCCAGAGATCACGGTTTGTTCTCATCAGGACATTCGTCATCGAGGCCTCTTCAAAACAACTGGAGGCCATCTTCTCAAACCGCTGCTCTCTGAAGCCGAGTGCATGAAATGAATCCACGCTTCAGAAGGCCATCACAACTCTTGCAACAGTTCGCTCCGAGTGCGCGCCGCACGCCGCCTGACCTACAGCGCTACAATGTCATTCACTGAACTTTCTGACAGGCAGGAGACCTTAGATTCAGCGCATTGATCGCAGGGTGAAAAGTACAAAACGTAAGTGTGTTCAACCAGATATATCTACTGTCACGTAGCGCGGCGGCGGTTTGGACCCATCTGTCACGGGCCTCCTCGGTGAGGAGGAATCTCGGCTCCTTCATCTGTGTGAACGTTAGAGGAGAGGCAGAATGATTCATCAATCATCCATTCAGGGCACATTCGGCAGGTAATCGTCTGCTGTTGGATCACGTCTTCAGCCGAGACGCTCGTCATTCATCTCTGCGTACGGCAGAAATGCCCCTTTAATCTTGATTAAGACTTTTCACACGTTGTGAGAYGCAATTATTGCATTTAATGACTTTTTACAGGCTTGAGGAGACATGAAGTGTGTTCTTGCTTATATTTGTTGTTTTTTGGTTTCATTAAAAGACTTTGGTATGTAAAAATATTTAGTCCAGTGGTGTCCAGAGTCAGTCCTCAAGGGCCGGTGTCCTGTAGGGCTGTGTATTGGCAAGAATTTGGCGATACGATACATATCATGACAGAGGGGGCACGATACGATATATCCCGATATATTGCGATACTATAAGCAAGGCGTTATATTGCAATATATATTGCGATTTTTTTTATCCAAAAATTATATTAAATAAAAACCTCTTACAGGGGAAAAAATGAAAAACCAAAATTCATTGTATCAGAAAATTCTAATATTACAGAGACATGCTTTTGATACATTTAGCTGTGTTCTGCTTTGTATGTATTTTATTTGTTTCATATTTCTTTTTTCAACCATGTTTTCAATTATTAGACTAAATTTGACAATAAATAGTTTGAAAATATTTTTTGCAGCTTTTAGTTTTTAATATTAATTTACAATATGGTCA